AAAAAAAAAAAAAAAAAATCTGAGTGCCAAGCTATGAAAATTCATTGAACTGAACACTTATGTGCTTCTCTTGTGTTTAGAGTAGGATCACTGCAACCAGAAGGGGGGCTGGGGTCCCTGGATGACCACAGAACAGAGCTGCCCACCAGCCTGGCATGGCAGATTCTGTTTTTGTTTTCTTGTCTTTTGTGAGACCAGGTCTTGCTGTGTATCCCAGGCTGGCCTTGAGCTCACAGCAATCCTCCTGCCTCAGCCTCTTGAGTACTGGGATTATAGGTGTGTACTGCCTCACTTGGTCTTCAGATTTTTAAAAGAGAAATAAACTTCTACCTCTTGTGGGCCTTTGTATTTCGGGGTCTCTGTTACAGTAGTTAGTTGTTACAGGGCCTTCACTCTAACAAGCACTGAGCGCTCTGGGCACTGATGTGCATGGCCTTGATTAAAACGGAAGAGCCAAGAGCAGCGGCACAGGGGCGCCCTCCGGATGGCGAGGACACTGACCGTGATGGGGAAGAGACGCCCGGGCACCTGCAGCACCGGCGCATGGCCGAAGTAGCTGGAAAACAGCGCGATGTTGATGGTGGCCGACATGAGGATGACCTTGAGGTCAGGCCGCGTGGGCAGCAGGCGCCGCAGGACGCCCAGGAGGAAGTCGTTGTGCAGCTGCCGCTCGTGCACCTCGTCCACGATCAGGACACTGTACTGGGGCAGGCTGGGCTCCCGCTGGATCTGCCGCAGGAGCAGCCCCACAGTCAGGAACACGATCCTGGTGGCCGCCGAGCACGAGCTTTCAAAGCGGATCTGGTAGCCGACCTGGGGTAGGAGGAGACATCGGGCTCAGCAGGGGACCCTGGAGCCCCGTGGGCTCCCTGCTACTGCCGCCCCTCAGCCATGTCTGTCCTCTCCTAGGTGCTGCGAGAATCACGCGCAGCACTGCGCTGCCCGGTGTACGACAGCATCCACCGTGACAGTAAGACTTTTCCAGTCCTTACTGAGGGCCAGGCGACACCCTGCACTCTGCACGCGTTTCAGCCTCACGACCGCCCTGCCCCAGAACTCTCATCCTGGCTGAGGTTATCATCGGAGGCAACAGGGCCCAAAGAGGTATTCAGAGGAAAAGTGTCGTAACCCTACTTCCCATCACACACACGCTCACACACTCAAGTCAATTTCAGGTAAGCTGTAGTTCTAGACGGAAGAGTTTTTAGAAAAGTACTGGAGAACTTCCTCATGACCTCAAAATAGGCAAAATTTCAGCCAGGCGCGGTGGCACACGCCCGGATCCCAGCAGTCAAGAGGCTGAGGCAGGAGGACTGCCACCAGTTTGAGACCAGCCCGGGCTACACAGCCAGACCCTGTCTCACAAAGAATCTGTGGCATTCTATCACTAAGAAGTGATAACCTATCGCAAAAATAATTATCACTAAGGATGGTGCTGACCCTCAGGATATAAGGGTTCACAGATATGTTTAGATTTTTAAGTCTGGTACTGATTACATATGGGTATTCAACTAGGGACAATTCACTCAACTATGCACATAGGATGTGTGCACTTTTCTTGACTGCAGCTGGGGATGGAACCCAGGGAGTTGGGCCTGGCAGGCAAGGGCCCCGCCCTGAGCTACAGCCTCAGCCCAGATGAGCGCACTCCTTCCTGTTAAGAGTTTTGCAATTTCAACAACAAAATAACGTTGCTAAGTGGTAGAGCCAGGAATGGAACCCTAGAGCTCATCACTAGAAAAGGGCCAGCTGGGGATGCAGCTCAATGGGAGAGCATTTGCTTAGTGTGTGGGTTCCATGCTCAGCACAGAGGAAGAAAGAGGGGAAGGAGGGAGGAGAAGGGGGAGAGGACGGGGAAGGGAGGGGAAGAAACAGAGAAGAGAGGAGAGAGACAGAAAAACCAGGAGAAAGATACAGCGGAGGGAAGAAGGAAGGAAGTGTCCTTAATGATTTTATGGGCCAGGCATGATGGCGCACACCTGCAATCCCAGCACTTTGGAGGCTGAGGCAGGAGGATCGCTATGAGTTTGCGGCCAGCCTGGACTACATGGTGAGACTGTGTCTCAAAAAACAAATAAATAAATGCAATGAATTTTTTTGTTTTGTTTTGTTTTGTTGTTTGTTTTTTTGAGACAGGGTCTCATTATGTAGTTAAGACTGACCCGGAACTCACTATGTAGCACAGGCTGGTCTTGAACTCACAGCGATCCTCCTGCCTCAGCCTCCCAAGTGCTGGGATTACAGGCATGCGCCACCACGCCTGGCTAACACAACGAATTTTTTAAGTCTGTTCAGAAAAATAACTGAGGAGCATTTATGTTTCTAAGTTTTTTGCTGTTAAAGCACTGTACTAGGGCCAGGGATTTAGCTCAGTGGTGCCGCTGCCTGCCTCGTAAGTGCAAGGACCTGAGTTCGATCCCCGGTACCAAAAAAAAAAAAGCACCGTACTAAGTAACTGTAAAGCACTGTACTAGCACCTTCATCATTTGGACCAATACAAGCCAATCTGTAGCCAGAACTCCAGAATGATCATCTCCAGATCACAGGGCAGCAGCTGAATCTGACTGACACTGCCATGTGCCCAACGAACTTACCACCCAGCGTCGCCCTGCACGGACCGGGCAGCTGGCCCCGCCCACTCACCTGGGATCCATACTGACTGAGGCTCTCGAAGCCAACGCGCTTGGCCAGCGAGACACAGGCAATTCGCCGGGGCTGGGTGCAGGCCACGTGGCGGAAGCCAGCAGCCAGCAAGTACTGGGGGACCTGGGTGGACTTGCCACAACCCGTGTCCCCAGCCACCAACACCACCTGGTGCTGCTTCAGCATCTGCAGGATGGGGTTCGCGTACTGGGCGATGGGCAGGGCGGCCCGCTCCCGCTGCAGCTTGGCCAGCCGCCCAAATGCCTGCTTCTGGCCGAAGTCCAGGTAGTGCAGCAGGGCCCGGCGGAACTCGGACACGCGTTCCCGGGGCA